GCCAGCACCCATTGAGACCGAAAGTTCCCCTGTCCCGGAATCTGAAATGATTCCATTGGACGGCACCACGAGCCAGGACTCTGAAGATAACCATGCACATGGTATGAACTTTTTACGGTTACCTAAATGGGAACAAGCCCAATTGTTGCAAATGCACCGAAATCTGGGACATCCGTCCAACGAAAGACTTGCCAAGGCCTTAGAATCCAGTGGTCAGAGACCTGAGCTGGTCCAAGGTGCGCTTGACATCAGATGCGCAGTGTGTTCCGCGTGTAGTCCACCGAAACATCAAAGACCCGGAACCTTAAAGCCCATGATGGATTTCAACTACAAGACCTATGTTGATGGAATAACATGGACAAACCAACAGGGGAAATCCTTTCATTTCTATCACATCCTTGATGCGGGAACCAACTATCATGTAGCCATAATTGCCCCATCACAGACCACTCAAGATGTAATTCATCTCCTTAATCAACATTGGATCAGTTGGGCTGGAGCACCTCATGAAATCCAAGTCGATTCGGGAACTGAACTGAACAGTGAAGAATTTTCTCAGTACATGCAAACCATGTCCATAAAGCCAACCACCATTTGTCCGGAAGCCCATTGGCAAAATGGTAAGATTGAGCGACATGGCCGGTTTCTTCAAGAGATGTTAGTAAAGATGGACCTTGAACACAATATCCAAGAATATACTACACTTCAAAGGGTTTTAAATCAATGTACGCAAGCTAAGAATGCACTTAGTGTGCGGCACGGATATGCACCAGAGGTGATAGTATTTGGGAGACACACACGTGTGCCAGGGTCAATACTCAGCGACGAGTCCATCCCATCACATGCAATGGCCACCAATCCAGAAAATGGTCTTGACGCCTCGGAATTTCAGAAAATGCTGAAGATTCGAGAAAACGCCCGGAAAGCCTTCCACAGTGTACATAATAGCGAAACCCTTCGCAGAGCCATCCTGAGAAGATCATGTCCTCACCGAGGAAAGTATGAACCTAATCAATGGGTCATGATCTGGCGTAATCATAATGCGAACCAACCCAATTGGATCGGTCCCCATAGGGTAATTATACAGGATGGTAATCACACAGTGTGGACAACCACAGCGGGAAAACTATTCCGTTCAGCTCCTGAACATGTGCGACTGGCCCTGCCGGAAGAAGGAATGCCCTGTGGTCCTGAGCTCCCGGAAGATTTGACCGCTCTCCAAAACCAGATTGACAGAATGAATAACCAAAGTGTTCGGGTAGACTCCCCCAGTATAGTCGATCCATCCAATAACCCTGATGAACCCATAGTCCCACAAGATAATGACATGGAGAACATGGATCAGACTCCAGCTGAGGAAGAAGAAACACAGAGCCTCCGAACATCCCAACAGCCTGATCAGGAACCAGAAGCCGGTAGTCAAGATCCTAGCATCCCATCCGAAAACACCCAAAGTGAAGAAGAAGAAGAAGAAGCATTCATGGTATGTACCGAAGAGCCAGGAGCCCTGTTGAGCGAAACTCCAATCGATCTAGCCTGGAAATGTGAGTTTGACATACCCATACCAAACACATATGATGCTTCGGATTTATCTACGGTTGAAGCTTGGACCATGCTGGCCTCCTCTGCCCGAAAACAACGATCAGAAGTCAGACTTGGCGAACTGTCTAGACAGGAGAAGGCCGAGTTCGAAGTCGCCAAACAAGCCGAGATTGACAATTGGATCAAAACGGGAACAATCAGCAAAATATTCAGAGATCAAATTCCACATGATCAAATCCTTAGATGTAGATGGATCCTCACTTGGAAGCCATTGGACTCCACAGAAATCACTGCCAATTCCAAGAACCCAAAAGGGAAAACTCATCGAGCAAAAGCTCGTCTAGTGGTATTGGGATATCTAGATCCAAAATTAGACCAAATACCCCGGGATTCCCCAACCCTTGGAAAAACATCCCGAATGTTAGTTCTCCAGACAATAGCATCACACCAATGGGAACTTACTTCATTCGATGTTAAAGCAGCTTTCCTACAGGGGACCCCACAAAAGGGACGAATCATTGGAATAGAGCCGGTACCTGAATTACAGAAAGCCATGAACATGCAAGATCACGAAGTTGGAATCCTCAATAAAAGTGCGTACGGACTCATCGACGCACCATACTTGTGGTATAAAGCATTCGTAGAACACTTGCTGCAGCTGGGAATGGAACCGTGTCCTTTTGATCCATGTCTTTTCGTTTTGCGTGAGGGACCCGAAACCAACCAACCAGGAGCACTCAATGGAATCCTAGGAATCCATGTTGATGATGGTATTTGTGCTGGAAACCAGAAGTTTCAAGAAGTTCTCCAAAAGATTGAAGCCAAATATGCATTCGGATCCAAGAAAGTCCAATCTTTCACATTCACGGGAATAGACTTGTGCCAACATGGAGATTACAGTATTTCCCTAAACCAATCAAGCTATGTCCGGAAAATTAACCCCATAAGCATAGAGCCTCATCGGAAAACACAGACCGATGCACCGGTAAGCGAAACTGAACGTGCGTCCCTCAGGGGGTTAATAGGATCACTTCAATACGCAGCTGTCAATACTCGCCCAGATTTGTCCAGCAGGTTATCCCAATTACAATCTTCAATAAATTCAGCTACCATCGAGAACCTTCAGGAAGCCAACCGACTCCTACATGAAGCCAAACGTCACCATGATGTAACAATCACTATAAAATCCATTCCCCCAAAACAATTCCGATTCATGGGATTCTCTGATGCGTCCTTTGCTTCAGTAAAGAAACCAGACTCACATGCCGGACTTATCATCGTTGGAACCCACCAAGACATCAGTGAAAATAAGCAATGTGTCATTAGTCCAATTTCTTGGGGAAGTCGTAAAATTCAAAAGGTTGTAACCAGTACATTATCAGCAGAAACCAATGCTCTTGCATCCGCAGTGGATCAATTAAGTTGGCTAAGGCTATTTTGGGAATGGTTACACAATCCTAAGACTCCTTGGAAGAGACCTGAAGAAGCCTTGACACGAATTGCACCAGCCATCTCCGTAGCTACATCCCCAGCCGAAATGGATGTTGCTGTCACAGACTGTAAGTCGCTTTTTGACCTGATAACCCGTACAGCACCTCCACAATGCGCTGAGTTCAGGGTTGCCTTGGTTGCTCGAGCCATCAAAGACTCTCTCCAAGAGGGAATAGATCTTCGCTGGGTCTCAACAGGAGCACAATTAGCGGATGCACTAACCAAAGTGATGGAATCTCAGTTTTTGCGAGAGACTTTAAGATTAGGCACTTACAAACTGACGGATGAGAGCTCCTTGTTGCGTGACCGAGCCCGCACGCGTGACAGGGTTCAATGGCTGAAACAACAATCCAATGAGAAATACACCAATGAAAATGCTGTTCAATCAACTAAAGAAAAATAGCGAGTGTGAATTTCCACTTGTTGCCCAGGTTCCTTTGCTTGAACAGCCATCAGAAGCCTCCGAACGCTGTAGGCACATGCGGCTCAGGGAGCCCCGGGAGAAGGCGGGTAGGGATTTCACTCGTGCCTTGCTGCCATAGTTTGAGCTTGGGAGCTCACCCGTGCCGGTGACATTGAGCGTGGACGCTCTGTGGTACGTTGGCTTGGTAGCCATAACCTGGATCAGCAGTGTTGCCTTTCAGAAAAGGTTGTGGGCGCTTCCTGGAGCGGTGTGGTGATCGTGGAGGAGCCTTTTAACTAGTGTCCCCATCATAGGGGTTATTTGCTTCGGGTGTTCGACATCACTTGTGTCTTCAAGGGGATTTGGAAGAGCCTGCATCCAGTTTACAATGTATATATATATATGTATATATGTATATATATATATATGTATATATATATATGTATATATATATATATATGTATATATATGTATATATACATACATATATATACATATATATACACATACAATCACATACATATGATAATAGATTTAAATTGTTGCAAGTCTCCAAACGTGGAGCAAACAGCATCAACCCGTCACACCTTCAAATTTCATCAACTTTTGGGAAAAGACCACCTTTGGTCATACAAACAATAGTTCTAGTTCAGGATTTCGTCAGGGTGGAGTTCTCTAAAACCAACGCCTTCAAAGCAGTCTCCTACATTCTGTTTCTTAACTATCATCAAGATCATCAATTATAATGAAGTTATGTACTGTAGAATCTGTCAATCTGTTGAGAAGCTGCCAATGATTGCCAGTGTGACATTTCCGGTCCAACTCTCACGCATGTCAGGGATCTAAACTGGGAAGCCGCTCCACCTTCCAATCTTAGGTCTGATCGCAGCACAAATCGGGTTTCGTACTTCACCTGGCGCATCTGAGGTGAATCTTACCCTGCAAGCTGACACTGGCTGCAATCTTACCCTGCACCTCTTTCAGTTGTGGTAGAATCCACTGAAGACCTCAAAAAAGGTGGCGTTGGAGATCTCAGGAGTTGCCAGGGAAATGGCAGCCCAGCTTAGAAGAACCCATTTTGACCGCAACGGTGGTGGATGGAATCTGAGGCATTCATTCCACCAAAAACTCGTACGGCACTCCGTACTCAGGATCCCCACGTACACCACCACAGCTGTGTAGCCGTCCCAAGTCCACTTCCCTGGAAGGCAAACTCTGGGTTGTTAGCTGTTCGATTCCTCAAAGTAGATGAATCCATATGAATCCCATCCCCCCAAAAAATTAAACATCTCATTTTTAGGGGCCCAATGATGTGGAAATTCCCTACTTTTTACCATGGTTTCTAGGTGCGTTTCTAGGTGGTCTTTAATTTTTTTTGGGGATGGGATTATGTCCAGGCAAAATTTGGCTCCGCACCACCAAGATCCACCGGCATGGAATTCTTCCAGGGCAATCTGTGGATGCCACCTCAGAGCCATGGCGAAAAACAGTGGGGTACCAATGGACCCATCGAAACTTATCAATTTCAATATAATTACCAGACCAGTGACTAGACTAGACCATATCAGATCTTTGAACTATTGGAGTGTAAATCATTTTGAGCCATACCCACAGCCTGCTTGCCCACTGAAAGAATCAGTGATGTCAGTTCTTTCTTTAATTCTGCGGTCTCTCAAAATACAAGGGATGGAGCAAGATAATCCACCAACCAGTGATGAAGCACTCGGGTCTCCAACCCATTTTGCACTTCCAGGGCTTTGTAGGACTCTTGCTCATTGCTTGAAGCCTTGCCTTCGCCGCCGAGGCGGCTAAGGCAAATCGCCAACTTCGTGAACTTGAAGCTTCAACTTCGATGCTTTTGGGATGCACGACTCAGCCGACACAGCTGTAAACAAATCAAAGCTCCACCATGTTCATCAATAAACTTCAATAAACTTCATGGCCGAAATGTCGTGAACTGGCAAAAAACGAGCGGCAGATTGCATGCTGAGTGGGGCAGTCAATGATCGCGCCACCTCAATACTGCATTGAAGCAAAACCAACATTCCTGAGATGTCTGAAAAAATCCCTGCTCTGACAGTTGTCTTTACCAAGAACTAGTAAGTGTGCTAGCACTGGCTAAATATGATGCTTTGCAGTTCGGCTCTGCAGCGGAATCAAGGGCATCAATCTCAGCTTTCTGCCAAGCTCCATGGCGTGGAAAGACCTGAAGCCAGGCGGCAAAGGGGCCCTGATGGGGGCAAGGACTCACTTTCTTCTTATGGTTGCTTTTCTATGGCATGGACTTTCAGACTCAACACACCTCTGCGCATAAGACAAGTAATTAGCTGGCTGCGATGATGCCCTTGTTGATTCTTGTTAAAATAAAGCTACCCCGTGTGCAAAATGGGCAATGGGTGTGCAGACTTCCAACCCTCCACAATTTGTTGGGTCCCAACCTGTCCATCAAGAAGGCAACATCTGTGTTGGCATGGCTTGTGCTCGACCTTGCAACCAACTACCGTTGGCAACAGTAATACTGTGGATGGAAGAAATCTTGAACCACCTTGGAAGGTTGAAACCCTATAAAAAATGGGATGTTTACCATCTACCAACCGGTGCAGGATTTTGCTGGCCCATCCACAGTATCAAGGCGGGAAAGTCTCGTTCTTTTCAGGGTATGAAGCTACTGACTGGTGCCTGATGCTGATCTTGCTGCAGGATGCTTTCAGCAACTGTGAAAATTTTGTGGTGAACAACCAAAACGACCAGTCTGTTGGTTGCAACCCAGGCACAAGTATGAAGGGCCAAATCGAACATAAGCCTCGAATGCACGAGCCACTGCTCGCCAGTGAAATCTGAAAGGTCCTTAGGAAAACACCTCTTCAAACAAAGGACACATCCCACATGTAGGTTCAATATCAGCTGGGTGTATGTAAATTATGTAATATGAAATCAAAACCCATTGAAAGCCCGGCATGCGAGCCTCGTGTGCACCAAATTTGCGGCAAATCTGAGCAAACGTGTCCTGAACAAGCCGCAGGGATGCCAGGAGGGGTTCATCAACACTGCTCTATATCAAACACAAGCTAAGTGATGCAACAATCGCTACAACCCACTGAATTTAGAGCGTGTCCTCGACTAAGTAGAAAGCAGGAATGTCATGCTCCTTTCTGGACCTGGAACAGCTTGGGCAATGAGATCAGATCACCATTTGACGCATCCTCTAGGCTTGACAAGGCCGCAATGTGAGTAAGCAACATTTTGACTGATCTAAAAACATGCAACGTGATCAACCTATGTATATATACTATATAATATATAGTATATAATATATAATACATAATATATAATATATAATATATAATATATAACATATAATATATAATATATAATATATAATTATAATATATAATATATAATATATAATATAATATATGATATATAATATATAATATATAATTATAATTATAATATATAATATATAATTATAATATATAATATATTATATATAATATATTGTATATTATATATTATATATATTATATTATATATTATATGTTTTACATATATATATATGTATATATATATACATATTTGCACATTATTCAATCTTGCACTGCCATGCGAGGCTGATGCACTTGATGAACTGAATGAACATTGGGAAGCTCATACTGTCTGACACATCCCAAAAACGAGCGCCTTGCAGGCACCACAGGGCCAGTGCTACACAAACGAGCGCCCCTTTTGTGACACCTAAGAGGTGTCAGGGTCCCAAACAGAATTGCACGAATGATAACAACAGTGCGAGTAGTATCATAACATGAATAATAATCATTATATATATATATATATGTATAATATGATATGTATATACAATACAGATACACGTATAATGATGAAAACGACAACAAAAAATAAGAATAAGAATAATCAAAACAGTAACAATCATCTTGATATTAACGGCGTTTATTGGGTATAATATATTGTGTACAATTACTTACTTTTATAAAGACACGCTGTGTATAATATAAGTGTGTATAATATATATATAATACAATTATATATATATATAATGATACCCCCAGGCCGGCAGTGCGCCCAGAGGTTTATCATATAACCACCTCTTTTTGTTTAGGGTTTGTTATGTTTATTTAGGTTTCATTTATGGTTTTTAGGGTCTAACACTGTTTTATATAATAAGATTTTACTCTCAAGGCTTACTTAGGGTGTCACATCAGATTTAGGTCTTGGAAACAAATCTATCAGCCATTTGGGCAATCCGCCACCATCCCACAATGCATAAAGCACTGGCCCTGTGCAGTCAAAACATACTTCCACGGGCAGCACCCCCGGTCCTGGCTGTAATGATACATTTATACACAATACACAACCGTACATACATACAATACATGGCTGGAAAAAATGGCACAAATGATATCCACCGCGTCAACTCTTCCAGGCTACTCCCGCGCTCTCTTCCACATCAACTTCTCCATCTTTTGGCTCACTTGCCCAGCTGTTTGCAGTAAATTTACAAACCTGCAACGGCTGGGTGGTTACATGGGATTTAACCATCAACAATAGGGATATCATGGGGATATACTGGGTATTTATATGGATTTATGATGATTTATGGGGATATGGGATGTTTCTTACCAACCATACAGCTTGGAAATTGCAAACCACAACAGACACCACCTGCCTTCCTGCTCGCTCGCTGTCGGCGTTGAGCCACAGCTGGAAGGACCCCTGGAAGGCACAGATCGAAATTTAGTGCATGACCAATGTGGTAAACAAAATTCTGCAAAGAATCAATGTGGAACCCACACAAATTGCCAATTGTGGTAAACAACATTTTGTGCACGACCAATGTGGGTCACCATTTTTCAATTTCCCATATTACCAAGGGTTTACCAAGGGGGATGGTTCCACCAATTGAAAAATCACCATGTTTTGTGGCTGATGTGAGCCCGCAGTTTTTTCGTTCCACCTTCTAGTTCAGTTCGTCCAAGTCAGAAAAGGCATCAACACGACAAATGTTGTGAAACCATTGAAAGAACGTGCTGACTGGAAACAACTGAAATTCAGTTGTGCCGATCCGGAATCATGTCATGATGCCACAACTCTGCCAAATGGCATGCCAAATGGCATACGGGGATGCGTCAAAACCCTATCCCCCTGGTGAACATCAAAATAGCTGGGATTTATGGATGTTCATCCCCCTAAAAATGGTATGTATAGGTATTGATCCATAGCCATATGATAATCATCAACTATTATGATTCTGACTTGAATAATCTTGAATGTTTACAGGGATTCCATCGGATCCCCATGGATGGAAAGCATGATCAAAACGCCAATCAATCGGTAGAAAAAACAAGCGAACCAATCATCAATCCGGGGTGTAAACCACGCCTCGTTCTGACCTGGAGGATCTTTCCTGGAGGTCACAATCTGTTCGACTTCGAAAAAAAACATCGCATTCCACATCATTCCACGCAGCTGCAGTATTCAAGAATATCTTTAATTGAGGCGCACATCAGATCACATTCAAGCAATAATACAATAGAAGTATCTGGCCATTTTTTTTTTGGCTGCAGAGACTGGCCAATATGTCCATCTATCTATCTATCTATCTCTATCTATCTCTATCTATCTCTATCTATCTCTATCTATCTCTATCTATCTCTATCTATCTCTCTATCTCTCTATCTCTATCTATCTCTATCTATCTCTATCTATCTCTATCTATCTCTATCTATCTCTATCTATCTCTATCTATCTCTATCTATCTCTATCTATCTCTATCTATCTCTATCTATCTCTATCTATCTCTATCTATCTCTTTCTATCTCTCTCTATCTATCTATCTATCTATCTCTCTATCTCTCTATCTCTCTATCTCTCTATCTCTCTATCTCTCTATCTCTCTATCTATCTCTCTATCTATCTCTCTATCTCTCTATCTCTCTATCTCTCTATCTATCTCTCTATCTCTCTATCTCTCTATCTATCTCTCTATCTATCTATCTCTCTATATCTATCTCTCTATATCTATCTCTCTATCTATCTCTCTATCTCTCTCTCTCTATCTCTCTCTCTATCTATCTCTCTATCTATCTAT